TTATTTCTGTCGCTATTGTGTTAGTATTCAGTTATTAAAATTAGGGTTTTTATCTTTGTCACAATTTCATCGGAAATTTGTCACTAATTTCCAATGGAAAAATTCCGTCACTAATTACCGTAGGAATTCACCCAGCCTTTTAGTAGTGATCATGGATACCGTAGGTAATTTGTAGTTAATTACCTACAAATTACCAATGAAAGTTTTGGTATTTTTCATTTTCCAATGATCAAATGTTGTTTTTCGTTTGATTTTTTTTTTACAATATTATTATATATTGATTACATTGTTTTTACCAAGTTATATATATTATATATATATATATATATATATATATATATATATATATATATATATATATATATATATATATATGTGTGTGTGTTTATGTGTATGTGTATGTATATGTATGTTCATATATTATGTATGACTTAATGAAAGCATAGTAATCAATGTTTAATAATGTTGCTAACATATGTTTATATATTATTTTGAAAACATTGTATTCAATGTTTTATTAATCTTGAGGAAAAAATATATAGAAAAAAGACATTTAAGGTGCGTTTGGTTGTGGAAAATTTTTCAAGAAAAACGGAAATTTTGAAAACGCGTTTGGTTCGTTGAGTTTTCCAAAATTTTCCAAGAAAATGAAAATTTTCAGTTTTCGAAATTGTATGTAAATTAGAAAAGTGATTTTTACAGTTTTCCAAAGTTTTCCAAATTTCTAATATGAAAAATGAAAACTCCCCCGGTTTCAACCAAATGCTTTTTCTAAAATTTTCATTGAAAATTAAAAAAGAAAACTCAACTCTAGTTTCTGAAAACATTTTCTTAGAAAATGAAAACAATTTTCCACAACCAAACGCACCCTTAACCTTTGAGAAATGGAAAATAAAAGATTGGATATAAAAAAAAATATTACATAAATACATATACATACACACACACACCCACACACACCACACACATATATATATATATATATATATATATATATATATATATATATATATATATATGAAAATTAATATTAAGAGTAAATTACTGAAATCGTCCCCGTGGTTTGGTCAAAATTGCACGTTTGGTCCCTAACTTTTTTTTTGCACTCGGGTCGTCCCTGTGGTTTGATTTTGTTGTGTTTTTCGTCCCTATGGTTTGGTAAAAGTTGCATGTTTGGTCCCTAACTTTATGTATGTAAGGGACGAAAAATGCAACAAAATCAAACCACAGGGACGAAAAATGCAACAAAATCAAACCACAGGGACGATCCGAGTGCAAAAAAAAAGTTAGGGACCAAACGTGCAATTTTGACCAAACCACATGGACGATTTCAGTAATTTACTCTAATATTAATAATATATATAATAAAACTACTATTATTATATGAATTAATGCTAAATAATTATAAAAAGTATAAAAGAGAAGGAAATGAAAACAATTTACTACGAATTACCCACAAAAATAAAAAAGTTCTCACATTTTTTCACTTCTGTAGGTAGGTAATCTGTAGTTCATTTCCTACAAAATTCCTACAACATTGTAATCTCGATTAAGGAGTTGGGGGTTTTCAACTTTCCGTCACTATTCCGTAGGTAAATTCCTACGGAATAGCTACATAATACTAATTTGGAATAAAATATTGATGTCCGTAGGTAATATGTAAGTAATTGCCAACAGATTACCTACTGAAATTATTTTTGCCACTAATCTGTTGGTAGTTTGTAGGTAATTTAAGGCAAATCTTTTAGTAGCTATTCCGTTGGTATTCTATAGATAATTACCAACGAGTTTTCTTCCGTGACTGATTTTTGTAGGTAAATGTGAAATTTTTAGTAGTGACCCACTCACACAGAGGCAAACAAAACAATTGGAGGTATATCTAGAATGGGTAATTACAAAAAAGAACACTATAATTTTTCAAAATTCCGGTTTAACAACAAGTTTTTAATAAGTTTCAAAAAAACCACCATTTTTATGATTAAACGTTGCAATGCGGCCGCTGTTACTTAGTTGTAACATCCACAAAATTCAAGTCAATTTAAAACTTTTTAAACATTTCAAAACTAATGATTATTACAAAACTTGTTTTCAAAATAGTATAGTGTCAGAGTATCCCAGAATCAAATCACAAAAACAATAGGAGGTGCACAATCACGCATTTGCCTTCCCGCGATCATCAGAAGTACCTGAAACAAAATCAACAACTGTAAGCCCGAAGCTTAGTGAGTTCCCCCAAAATATCAATGACATACAGATATAACCATATCATATAAACAAACACAACATGCATAATGAGCCATCAGTATGACTGGACCGCCTCACAGGACATCAGTCTATCTGGACCGCTCTCCAAGCCATCAGCACGTCTGGACCGCCTCTCAGGGCCTACAGCCTATCTGTACCGCTCGTCGGGCCTTTGGCCTGACTAGTGTGCCCTAACCGGGTCTTCAGTCTATCCGGTCCGCCCTGGGTATCTTGGCCTACAGCACAAAGCAGGACCTGCCTCAACCCAAATCCCCAAACCAACAAAACATGTGCACATAAATATCATACGCTAGCATGTAAGTACAGACAGTCATACTGATCTAACAGATCACTAACATGGCAACCATCCTATAACCAGGATACCGATCTAACCGATCAATAACAAAGCAACCTTCCTATAACCAGGATACTGATCTAACCGATCTCTAACATAGCAACCATCCTATAACCAGGATACCGATCTAACATATCACTAACATAGCAATCATCCTAAAACCATGATGCAAATCTAACATAGCAACCATCCTATAACCAGGATGCAAATCATAAAGGGTCAGCCTTGGTGCCGTAGACCCTATTGATATAGTGAGAAGAACTCACCTCACAAGTAGCTTGAAGTGATAAGATCAAACTCCACCAAATGCAGCTCCAAGTCCAACACCTACAGCCACCAATGATCCATTTCCATAAATTCCCAAGTTACTAAAATACCCCTAGAAGTCAAACTGGTCAACCGTTGGTCAAAGTCAAAGTCAAGGATCAAAGTCAACGGTCCATGTTGACCCGACTCGTCGAGTGCATCTAGAAACTCGTCGAGTTCCTCAAGAACCCAGGAAAGTCATAAAACCCTAACTGAGTTGCCGAGTTTCCAACCAACTCGTCGAGTCTATGCGTGTCCAGATGCCGAGGAAAACCCTAACTGACTCGTCGAGTCCTCTTACTGACTCGCCGAGTTCATGCAGAATCAAATACAGGCAACCTTCATCCGACTCGCCGAGTCGGCTAAGAGACCTGTCGAGTTCATGCAGTCCATTTCTTATACAGATGTTTTTAAGCCACCGTAAAGCTCCATATTGCAGATCCAACCACCTAGGGCATGGTTTCCACGTAAAGTTGCAAACTTTACGTACATGCATGGTCCTAAATTCCAAAACTAGACTAAGGGAAAGGTTAACTCAAAGGGAAAGGCCTAAGCTTGCCAAATCTCATAACTTTATGGCTATAGGGACCAAGGTGAGTCCAGATCTGAAGTTACAACTTCAGATCTTACCCCAATACCCGAAATGACTCCTAAATATCCTAAAGATGGCACTAAACTTAGGCATGAAAAGATCTAATTAAAGATAAGCCAAGGTAACGACTTGATACCTTCAAAATGATTCCAAGAAGAAGTAGAGTCAGATCCACAAGCTCCTCTTTGCTCTAAGCTTCTTATACTTCACACCTTCTTCACAAAATGCACCAAAGTCACTTTTTAAGCCTCACAATCACTCAAGAACAAGGTCAATAACGATTAGGGTTTCTTCTGGCCGTCAAGGGGTGATAAGGGACTAGAGGAAATGACTTAAGGTCCTTTAAATAGGGTGCAAACCCTAAAAATTAGGGTTTCATCTCCCAGCTCCTACTCGTCGAGTCCAGGTTCTCCGACCCGTCGAGTAGATCCAATAATCCACGCGGGCTAACCCGCCTCTACACGACGAGTAGGTCCATAAATATGTATATAATGCTTTAAAACTTGTACCTGTGAGTCGGGGTGTTACATTAGTAGAGCCGGTTTTAATTACAAAAAGAAAAAAACACTTTATTTTTTCAAAAGTTCCGTTGAACTACCAATTTATAAGTGATCTTTTTAGCAGAAAATTAAAATTGGTGGGTTTTTAGCACAAATACAAGTCTTAGAGCATCTCTAATCCATTCTCATTTTCTATTATTTCCTCCATTCCTCTCCAACCCTATCATATTTATTCCCCAATTTTGGGAGAAATGAATAGAATAACACAAAATATGGTGTATGGGTGGGAGTTTCCATCACTTTTTGTGGGCCACACCACCATTTTCCTCACTTTCATTTCCTTCACCTAAAACCTAAGGAATGAGTGGGAAGCTCCCCTCACTATTTTATTATTATTTTTTTAAAAATATATTTCATACATATATTATACTTAAGTTTTAGGAAATCATAAACCATGAATTTTGATATATTTTTTATATTTTTTTAGTAGGTATATAATTTTATAAATATTAAAAAAGATAAAAAAAAAGAACTGGCCAATAGAATGAGAAGAGAGAGTGCTGCACCCCCTCCTACCACCTCTTTCCCGCGGGTTGCTCCCCTCACCCACGATACGGTGTTCCAGTGAGAGGGAAGCCTTCCGCTCCCATTTCCCGCTTCATACCCTCCAGCCTTATAACTTGTACTTGGTATATACATTGAGTTGACCAGTTCACTATCAACGATTGGCCCAAACGTTTTACTTTCATGTTCAACCAGCATAAGAGAGAACACTTTAATTAACCTAAGTAGGAATAAGTGGAGGATCCTATGTTACAAGAACTGCAAAAGCAAAAGACAACACTACTCCCACTTTACCAGAATGATTAAAGTACAGTTAGTGGGTGTATGTGTTTTTCGAGGTTGCTGAAAGAACACCTACATGTCCTCCTTTTTCTTTCATTCAATCAACACCACCATTTATAGACCTTAATCGCCAATTTAATCACACCATTTTACAACAAATACATCTCTCACACCTGAGACCTGGACTCTGGCCCATCCGTTTCTTCCTTCCCTTTTAAGGGGAAAAGAATAGAAATAATTTACAGTGGCGTGGCTTATTCTCTCACAGTATATGCAGCTTTGTACGTTTATCGAGATGACATACTCTCTCAGATAGTCCCCAACAACATTCTGACACCAACTCTTGATTTACATGGTGGAATCTTAACGTACCCTTCGATCTCTTCAACTTTGATCTATATATAGCTATACCGGTTGCTGCTTCTCCTTTCTTCATAGCTGATCATATGCAGTTAGCTAGAGGATATGGGAAGGAACGGAGGGAATTCATGGTTAGATGTTGTCAAAAAGGCTCTTAGGTCTCCTACCAAACACATATACACCACCAAAACCCTCAAAGCTAGGATGAGAGAAGAAGACGAACCAGAAGTCGACCAAGATAAGGCAACCATGCATCTCAACCTTTAAATAATTTATTGGTCGCAATGCATCATGCATATAAATTAATTGATCTTATGTTACTGTGCAGAAGAGAAGCAAGCGAAGATGGATTTTTAAGAAAACAGCTCTTCATAAAACAACCACCATACTTCATGACGAATCAATTAGCACTTTATCTACCTATGAAAGGTCAGCTACAAAACCCATAATGTCGCAGGCTGCGTATTCCGATGAAACACATGCAATGGCAGTAGCAATGGCCACCACTGCTGCAGCTGAGGCAGCAGTTGCTACGGTTCAGGCAGCGGTTGAAGTGATCCGGCTCACAAGTCCTTCATTTTCGTTTCAAAAGCACAATGCTGCTCTTGTTATACAGACTTTCTTTAGACGATACCTGGTAACTTATAATATGTCTTTAATTAATTAGCTATAACTAGCAATGATGGAGCTTCAATATTCACTAGATACTAACAATATTAAGATCTGGTTAGTTTAGGCAAGGAGAGCTCTTGAGGCTCTTAAAGGAGTTGTGAAGCTACAAGCCCTGGTGAGAGGACACAATGTAAGGAGGAGGACAAAGATGACACTCAAGTGCATGCAAGCACTGGTTCGTGTCCAAGCTCGAGTCTGTGACCAGCGCAGAAAGCTTTCAAATGAAGGAAGCTTCGACTCCAACATCTTTTGGGGGTCTCATCTTGCAGACAACAACTCCATTGTCAGAAATTCATTTGAATATATATATTTATATATTTTCTTTTTAACATAATTAATTACTTTCGTTCTTCAAAGTTTTTCAATGTTTGTGATTCTATGATTGTAGACAAGAGAAGAAAGTAGCATCAACACGGATGAGTGGGATAGACGACATGCATCTAGAATTGAGGAGATCCAAGCCATTTTACAGAAAACTGAATTAGCTGGCCAAAAGAACGGAAAGGACCTTACTGATCACAGCTTCCTGCATCAGGTTAATTTCATCTGCATATATATATATATATATATATATATATATATATATATATATATATATATATATATATATATATATATAGCAATTTTCTAGCTTCTTTCTCAGTTGTTGAATTTCATATATAGATCTGGAGATCCGATCAAAGTGAATATCGCGGCCACAAGGGTTTGGAGGAAGATCGGAAATTTTATCCTAATCAAAGAGACCCGGTGAAAACAGTTCAAATCGACACTTCTCAACGCTGTTCTTTATCTCCAAGCTGGGAAATTAGATTACATGAGAATCAAACGTACTACCATCAACAACAAAGACTCAACTCACATCCATATTCATCTCCCCTTCATCACCACAATTTCCACTCACAGTCACCTATCACGCCATCATCATCCCTTTCAAGAATAAAACCATCACTCAAAGTGCACTCAGCCAGTCCTCGGTGCCAAAGAGAGGAAAGAAGCTTCTCATCGTCAGGGACTGGAACACCAACCGGACATGGAATTGGAAACCCAAGTTACATGTCTGCCACAGTGTCAGCCATGGCGCGAATTCGGCCACAGAGTACTCCAAGGCAGAGGATGTCAACTACAGATGGAGAGAAGAAAACGTCTGCCAGGAAACGTCTGTCTTTCAATGTATCTGAAAAATACAACGGTGGTGGAATTAGTGACAGTGAACTGGACTGTAACTTGAGGAGCCCAATTCATACAATGGAGAGAAGATTAAGCATGTCTTCTTGTTGCAAAGAGAGAACTGAAGGTGAGATTCCTCGTCCTTCAGTTAGCGAAGACAGAAGGTGGATTAGATGACAGGTTAAGATGTAGTCTTCAGTGGAATTTAGAATAGCTCTGACCTATAGTTAATTATTTGTATGTTGTAATTTATCCATTTGAATCCATGTGTCTAGAGAACCTAACTATGAAATCGCATTAGTTTTCTTGGGTTCAAGGCAAGTAGGAAAACTTGTCTCAGTGTTGTCTAACCTTGATCATATCAATTCGTTTGCTTATGAATATGTCTAGTTATATCATGTTTAATTAAATCAATTGATTCATTGAATTTTATAGACTTTAATAGATTATCAAATCATTATTTTATTTTTATAAAACACTAGCATTTTTCTCCTATGATGCATTCAACTTACAAAATTTCAATGAAAGATTTAAATTAAACTTAAAGAAGATTTATTTTTCTTATTGAGGAGTTCAATATATGGTTATTGTTAAATGTGAATTGAGAGTTGAAGGCCATTAGATGGTGGCTACCGATCAGCTGGCGGAATGGAGGCCCGACCTGATTCTAGCTAGGTTTAACATATTTACTTTGCCTATATATATAATAGTTGATAGTTAGGGTTTCAACCGTATTGTACTGTAACGTAATATCGTTTTCAAGTTGGTGAATAATAATTCTCCCTCATATCCGTGGACTTAAAACATATTGACTGAACCACATAAATAAGCATTAGAACAACTCTCTCATGAATCAACTATATCAGAAGAAATGTTTGTATACCCTTTAGATGACAAAAACTATCCAAGTAAAGGATCATCTAGATAACTGTTGGATGATACTTGATCTACAACGTGTTGACGTTATAAATGAAGATGAGGATCAAACTCTTATTTTAGTGTGCTCTCTACTGAATTCTTCTGAGAATTTCGTTGATCACATAGTGTATGGTAAAACAACAATTACTATCAATGATGTAAAGAATTCCTTGTTGTCCAAGGAACTGAAGCGTAAAGTTTCTGGTAATGAAGAAAGCTATGGTTCAGGTTTAATTGTTGGCATGGGTGGAACACAAGAAATAGATGATTGAAACAAGGGGAAGTCATGTTCCGGGTCTAAAACTTCCTCTAAGATTACATGTTATAATTGCAAGAAAAAGGGGGAACTATAAAAAAGGTTTTCCACAATCAAAAGAAGGGAATTTCAAGGCCGAATCAAGCAATGGTAGCAATATTATTGTAGTTCAAGAGAGTTCGGACAAGTGAGTCATAGGTGATGTTTTGAATGTATGCATGGATGATTCTACATACAATTGGATCTTGGGTTCATATCACTATACGACCTATACACATGATTAGTTTGAATTTTCTAAAGAATGGAATGGCACATGGAAGATGGATAATAATGGAATGCATTGTATCAAGGACAGTGACATGATGCAAATCAAAGTGTATGATGATATGCTAAAAAAAACTCGATTGCCTGTATGTTCCTGATCTTCGTAAGAACTTGATTTCTTTTGGCACTTTGGCTATGTATGCATTGAAGTATTATACTGAAGATAACTGGGTAAAGGTCTTCAAAGTTGCTCTTGTAGATAAGAAGGGAAAGCTGCAACATGTAAATTATTTCTGGAAGGTGGCATAGTTAAAGGAACAATGGTTGTATCCCAATCCTTAGAACGTGATGGCAAACAAAGTTATGACATCAACGATTGGGGCACATATATTAGAATGACATGTGGATCATGCGTAAACAAGGGCTACTTGGTGGAGAAATAACCGGAAATGTTAAATTTTGTGAAGCTTGTGCCAAAGGAAAGAAATGAAGGGTGATGTTAAGTTTTGGTCAACACAAGCTAGGAAATTCTCGAATATGTTCACTCATATATATATATATATATATATATATATATATATATATATATATATATATATATATATATATATATAGTGATATTTGCTCCGAGCTTAACATCATATTGAAATGGTTTCATCCGGGTTATGCCTGAAAATCACAGCAAAGAAAGAACCGACGTCAGTCGTCGTCCGGGAGGTGGTCCTGGAACGAGGCTCTCACGGTCTAGTCAGTAATTGGATGAGAGAATTAGGGTTTAGTTTAAGGCAGAGAGTGAGGCGATCCATTCTTCTAGAGAAGAATGGTTTCTTTTATACCTGTTGTCATGGGAGCATGTCCCCGACAACACCTTTTGTCTTTTTTGGGCCGGTAGGGCATGGAGACGTCCTATTGGCGGATCGTTCACCACCAACGGTTATCTGCTATTGGTACAGAACCACCAAAGGGCAGCGCTCTGAGCGTTACACTTGTCTCTCTGGGGATGGTCAACTTTGTTTTTGGCTTATTATAGACCAAAGTTTCTCGTTCTGAGTTGGACCTTGGCGCTAGAGTGTCGTGGTCTAAACGTGCGGCCATGAGGGAGAGGGCTCGGGCTTTGCACTTGTGTTAAGTAGCGACCGTTAGCTAGGTCTTCAGTTAGATAACTTCTCCGTTTATCTTTGACGTATTCCTGGAGGGATACGTTAAAAAGTCCCCTAGGCTAGTAGACTTCTGCGTTGGGATGACGTAGCTGAGTTGTTCTAGCCTTGATCAGGACATGCGTTCGGTGGAGATGGCTCTGATGTCCGATGGTGTGACAAAGTTGTTCTGCACAGACGGTTTTTACTGTGGTAACCGTTCGATTTTCCTTCTTTTGTAATTAAAATTCCCCTTATTTAGGGAGAGTTTTATTCTTCATATCTCTTACGCTTCAACCATCTCAGTTTTCTTCTGTTCTTATTCGTTTCCTACCGTTTTCTGTTCTCGATCTACAATGACATCCACCCAATCTGGGAACGACCCGACACCGGAAGAGTTCGAGTCCCTTCAGTTCCGGTTTGGGTTTATTCCTGACCACAGAGTACAGTTTTCGAAGGAAGGGGATATCATCTATCAACCGCGAGCGGGGAAGGTTGGAGTCCCCGTGTCGATCTTCGAGGTGGTACTTCGACTTCCGATATCAAATTTATTTGATGAGGTCATGCGCGGGTATGGTTTCTCTATGGATGACCTTACTCCTAATGTCGTTAATAAGATTTTTGGGTTCGAGTTGGCCTACCGAGCCTTGGATGTACATCCGCAATTCTGGGCCTTCCAGGATTTCTTCAACTCGTCAACCCAGTCTGATGTGTATACTTTCTCTCAACGGCGTAATACTCACGCGTTTATTGTTAACCAGAAGGATCATTGAAAGAATTGACAGGATCGGTGGTTGTGGGTTAACAACAACCTGATCGGTCCTGGCTATCCCCGTGTGGCCATCTCCTTGGATCAGAAACCTCAATCGTCGGGCACCAGTTTACCCGTAGCTCAAGCGTTGAAGGGGATCTACTTCAACAGGGAAGATTGGCAGGACTGCATCATGGCGGTGGCAAGGATAAGTGCTGCTTGGCGAGCTCGAGGGATGATGCCTCAATTTTACATGGAGAAGGACGGTAAGTGTCGCTTCCCTACCCCTCCCCCCCTATTTGGATAGGCTTCCCTTGGGGTGGTGAACAGTCATTTAGTGCTTGTGTTTAGGTTGCAGGTGTTGAGAGGGTTTTATCCCTCGAAAGAGTGTTGCGTGGGAAGTTTAAGGGTGACCTTTAGTATCGCGAGGTTCCTTTGGTGGAGGCTCTCCCACCACCCGCTAGCACCACTCGTGCGCTTGTCCCAGCTGTTCTGTCCACCACTACACACAAAGGTCCTGGCGCTCAAGCTGGTTCGGGCCCGATGGATGTAGTTGTTGATGATGTTTACCGTAGCGATCCTTCAACTTGCTTTACCAAGGAGCGGATGGTGAGGGGGGGGGGGGGGCATTGGCGGCAGTCAAGTTGCGATTAAGTGGTGTACAACGTGGGCAGACTCCCCGCTCGTTGGTCATGTTGGGGCCAGTACAAATGGCATCTGGTTACACAAGAAGTGTAACATTGATTTCTTGCATGGGGGCTCGCCCGATGTGATCAACATTCTCGATGATGACACTTCGCATTAGTCGGAGGGAGTGAGCCAGGGAGCGAATGCATTGCACCATCGACCAGAAGAAGGAACGAGAGATGCTGTCGACTCTGGTGACAATGATCTTGGAATGATGCCTGCAACTGACCCTACAGCTTTCTCCAGCTCCCGCTCGATTCCACTCCCCAACAGTGTCATCTCTGGCGTTGTGCCTACACAACTGGGAAACGTTGGTGCATGGCCCCCGAAGTGGAATATTACTTACGAGTCCTTTCTGATACAACATTCCAGCGCCCACGAGTAGTGTCTTCATGCGTTTCCTTTGGCCACTTTTGGAGTCGTTGGAACTCCTTTCTCATTCCCATATGTCGAATGATCTCGAATACGCTGCATCCTAGGTTGCTCCGTATTTGGTGGTGGCAGCTAGTCGCTTTCACTACTTGGGATGTCGATGAAAAGATTAATGGTAGAAAGCAAACGTATCAACCCCATTGGATTAAGTTATATATATATATATATATATATATATATATATATATATATATATATATATATATATATATATATATATATATGATCAAATGTGAACTATAAGTATTGTGTGAGTATATAACTAAATCTTGTTAATTGGATTATAAGAATGAGGGGGTTAAGATATGAGGGTACATGTTATTAGTATGAGATAACATTTACTATATAATTGTCTTTAATTAATTGTAAGGGAAAATCATAAGAATGGTTCTTCAATGGGGCCTTCTACCAGGATATGTGCTTCAGGGAGTTTAATAGTGATTTTTGCCAAAATGTTCTCGGTTCGCATCCGAATAGGTGAGCAAATTCAATGTCGGACATGCATAACTCAGCAATATAGTCCTTCAAGAAATTGATTGCAGCACTGTAAGCTCCAATGCTCGTGCCACTTGATTGGCGATCTCGGAAGTGAGCATCAATGGTGAGACTATCATTTGGGTTGATTTGAGGAAAGTCGGCATCCGTGTTGGTGATGGTTGATTCTTTGTTCCGAGAGACATGATATTTGTACAACATACAGTTACGATCAAACTTGCTCTGAACCTTGTTAACGTATGCCATGATCTTGGTAAACCTCTTACGCGACCACACTTCCTTTTGGGGTCGTGCGTTGATGGAGTAAAATGTTCTCAATCTCTCATGCTCTGTTATGA